AGCCCTGGCTGCCATTGCTTCAGGAACTATTACTATGTGCAGATCTCTGCAGGCAGCTTGAATGAACTCACCAACCTATTGGATTCTGATCACAACTCTGGAAAGGGGAAGAGGTATGATACACTTCGATGGAAAAACAACTGGCTGCCTTGTAGGCTACAGAACCCATCACTGGAATGGCCCCAATAGAGGTAATAACCACCTATCCCCATCTTGGGGTGGATACGAGACCGGACCCAAAAGCCAAGGAGTGGTGTGACACAAATGCCCACAATGGCCAAGTGGGGGTGCTTACCTACAACAGCATAGTGCCCTCTCTAGTAGCCCCTTGAGTGAAAAACTCCAAAGCTTATTGGGACTGGTGACACACACTAGTGAAAAGCAGGAAGAATTTACTTTAGAACCATTAGTAGCAGAAAGATCTTATTGGGAGGGAAGAGCCCCTATTCCTGAAGATGCATGGTATACAGACAGCTCCAGTTGTGGGTAGCCCCCAAAATGGAGGGCCATAGCTTTCTATCCTAAGACTGAGACAATATGGATGGAAGATGGTGAGGGGAAGAGCAGCCACTGGGCAGAGTTAGGGGCCGTGTGGCTTGTGATCAAACCAGGAGCCCTCTCCTTTTTAGTTGTCTGCACTGATAGCTGGCCTGTTTCTTGGGTCTTGACCTTGTGGCTACCAACCTGGTACCATGCCAACTGGCTGGTTGGTCACCAAACCCTTTGGGGGCAAGAACTGTGGCAAGACTTATGGGCCTGTGGTCAGGCTAAAACAATTACAGCATACCATGTGACAGGTCATTTGCCACTGGCATTCCCAGGAAATGATGAAGCAGATAAATTGGCCCAGATATGTTGGTTAGAAGGAAAGCCTATCTCTGATATAGCCCATTGGTTACATCAGCATTTGTTGCATGTAGGGCAAAAGACAATGTGAGCTATAGTCCATCAGTGGGGCTTGCCTTTGCCCTCTGAAGAAGTTAGTAGAGCCTGGTAGGAGTGTGGTATATGCTCTAAAAGGGACTTAACACTGAGTTCCACAGCAACATGGGACAATAGCTAAGGGGCCGATACCCCTCGTCAGGTGGCAGATAGACTATATTGGGCCTCTACCTGTGTCAGAAGCATATTGGTATGCTATGACTTGTGTGAACACAGTTACTGGACTTCTGGTTGCTTTTTCTACCTGTGGCACAGACCAGCAAACAATCAAAAGAGGCCTGGAGTGTCTCTTTGCCACCTATGGCCAACCACAGGTAATTGAGAGTGATCGGGGCACCCATTTTACTGGACATGCACTGCAAGAATGGTTGTGACAGTTGGGAATCAAATAGAAGTTTCATGTGCCATAGAATCCTACCACACCACACCAGGCATGATAGAGAGGCACAATGGCTTGTTAAAATCCAGACTGAACTCAGATACCAATAGTCCACAGGGCTGGTCAGTCCACTTATGGACAGTGCTATGGCATTGAGAAACCCCAAAGGGAGCCCTGAATCCCATAGACATGTTAACACATATTGCTGCCTCCCCTATACAATTGCAAGTGCAAACCAAGAAAGAATCACTGAAGCTGAGGTTCAGCCACCGGAATAATATCTTGCTGCCAGCACCACTGCACTGAACCCTAGAGATTCCATTGAGTGGACGTGGCCTTGGACCTTTTGACACATGGACCAATGATGGCTGGCTCTCCTGGCACCTTGGGGACAAGGTCTGGAAGCTGGCCTCCTGTGTATTCCTGGAATAACAGCAGAGTGGCCCCCAAAGATCACAGCAGTATATCCTGAACAGCCAGAAGGTAGGAGCATCTTCCCAGGGAGTTTTGTTTTATTATTATGGCTGCTGCATGCACCTCCAGTAGCACTATATATAGACCCTTCAATAACCCCCATGGGGAAAGGAGTAAAAGTATGGTATACTAGACCTGAAAAGGACCCCTTTTCTGCTACAGTCCTATCACAGGACCACTCTCTTGCATGCATCCTACCTGATGGACAAGATATGCCTATGTTGCTGTCATTTAAACATGTGTCTTATCACCCCTAAGGCCTTTGTGGATTGGGAACATCCTCTGGCTTGAAAATTACTATAATTTTTGTCCAAAATCTTGTTGTACTTAATTTTTGTTATCATCTCTAAGTTGTTATCATCTGTTGCTGCTGTGGAATCTGGTTACAGTGCTCCAGCTTTCTTGCACAGGGACCATTGCAGAAGATTGAGAGCATGTGAATTGTAAGGTGAGAATCCTGGAGGGGTGGAATGTGGGGAAGCTGGGGTTCCTATGGCCAGGATCCTCACTGAACTTAAACCACCTGATGATATAACTGGCCTGTTGTAGGCTACCACTTCTACACCTTCAGGCAATAAGCTATTATTGCACTATACACAGAGCTTAGCCCAGTGCTCTGGGTGGAGGCAGAGACACTAGTGCTAGACCTACCACCAGGAGAACAAGCCAGATAATAAACCCTTTTGCCCCAAGAATGTTCTACTGTCATTTCTTTGATCATATTGAGTCCATAGTGAACTTGCCTGGGGCTGAAACCCATTGGCAAGATTGTCAGGATGCTGTATATCTGTTGTATTACTTTTGTTTGATTAACATACTTTGTAATTAACGTTTCCATTAACATTGAAACTAATTTAAGCTTTCACTTATATCCCTTCCTTCTAGACAAGGCCATGTTGGCATAGTACAGATGTGAACTAAGATAGAGCAGGAGGTGATGGGTAGAGACAGTGGGAGTAATGATGGTGGGGCAGCACCATGGCTTGGTATGTATGTATAGGCATGAACAGTGTGATGAATAAATCTAAATTATTCCCAGGAGATTTCACATTTAAAAGAAATCAACTGAATTAATATGACAAAGTATATCAGAACCTAAGAACTTAAGAAGAAAACCCTACATGAATCACTCCCTAGATCTTCTGATGTGGGGAATAAAATACAGCTGACCCTCAGCCCCTAGGACTCCTGCATGCCATGGGTAGGAGCAGGCTGGGAAGTGATGCCCACTGCTCTTCAGCCTACTTGTTACTAGGCAGATGGGGATGTCTGTGTCAGGCTAAGTTCTGATTAAGCTTTGAGAGAAGAGAGAAATTGTTTTCAGTTACACAACTGGATCATCCTAGCAGCAGAATTCGAATGGGAACGTAAAGGATGGACAGGATTATGACAGGAAGAGTAGAGTAAGGAAAGCCCTCCTGCATGAAGAATAGGACATTTGAAGATTAGAAGCAAAATGGAACAAAACTTGTTCATGTAATGACAGGTGGTCCAACTTCACTAAGATCTTTCAAGAGGGCAAATTAAAAACAAATTGGAGGGGGAAATGGAGTCAGATGTATAAAGCCTTGAAGATTATGAAGTGTTTTTTTTTGTTTTTGTTTTTGTTTTTGTTTTGGCAGGCAATGGAGATTAATGAAAATTTTTGAACAGTGGGGATGATGTAATTAAAATACTGCTTTAGTAACACTATTTCCCCTTGCATTTTTTCTTGAAAAGTTTTAGGACAAAAACTACAATAAAATACTAAAGCATAAAATTCAAAATAGAGCAAAGGAGCAATGAAAAAAGAAAAGATAAGCTGAAGTCAGAATGATGCTGTATGTCAGAGAATGATTAGCTTAAAAGTGGTGAGCAGGGTAGACTGCAGAAGGAAGAATGAAGCCAAGTAAAGAACAACTGTAGTGACCTGGACCTGATATATAAAGACACTAGTTAGGGTGAAGATGGTGAGCACAGAAAAGAAGGGATGAATTACACAGGCACTTTGAAAAAGGAAATGACTGAATTTAATGACTAAAAAGGCAAAACAGAGGGTGAGCCTTTGTGGCTCCCTCAGCCCCCTCACTTAAGTTATCAACAAACACCTTGGGTGTGTGCAATTCATAGAGGCAAGTGTCTAGTATTTCTAGTTGAATTGACTAATTTCTGGCTCCACTTTTTGCTTAGTAGAGTTGCAATTGTTTTGGTATCTCCACATCCATATCCTTTATTTTCCAATGCCCCTGTTTTTGCCTGTATTTTTTGCTTCATTTCCTTTTGTCTATTTGGATAATCTTTAGGGCAGTCCTCAATATTCAAGATTCAAAATTTCAAAATAGAGCCTAGGCTTTCTCGCTGCATGTACACACTAGACTGGGTTTCATGTAGACCTGTTCTCATTCAATCCCTTTCATGGGTCTGTGCCCATCGTCTTCCCTATGACTGAGAACCAAGCAACAGTAGGTATCAGTGCTGAGCTGGCTGAAGTTGGGAGTTTTTTTGAGAAAGCATAACCCAGCAAGGATCCAGAGAGCAAGGCTAAAACCTAAAGGCAGGAGGGTCAGGCCAAAAATGGTTACCAGGGAATGGAGAAGGGGGAGATAAGTTTGATGTTAAGAGTATAAACTTGCAATGAGTAGTAAATAAGCCATAGTGATCTAAGGCACAGTACAATGAACACAGACAACAATACTGTACTGCCGCTAGGTGCTATTATAACCATAGCTACACAGGGAGTCAGATTACAACGGGATAAAAGCAATGCAAAGCAATGTTTTGTACATGTTAAGTTTACATAATGTAATGTGTCAGATACATGCAGTGGAAAACAAAACAGAAATGGAGGGTGCTGGTTCCCATTACTTAACCCTACAGGGCTCAAGGGAAAGCCCAGGTTACCTAGATTTTAATCTTTGTCTTTCTTAGGTTCTACTCTGAGAGTTCTCTCTGAAACTTCTTGCTTAACTCCTCTATGAAATTGTTATAACACTATCATTTTAATAATGTAAAGAAACCAACATTTGAACAAATATTCCCACAACTTATATAATAATTTCTAGTATTAAAGTTTTGCCATATAGCACACTGAAATAATAAAAAGTTACAAGAGAAGATTTCCTTATAATACCTAGCAACAGATCCTTTACTTAAACAACCAAGTGATACGTGACGAGGCATACTGAGTAAATTACATACACATGCACGCAGCATTATCCAGCACTACCTTTCACAGGTGAAGATGGACTCAGATGCAGAACCAGGCTCTCTCACGACCACCTTTTCACAGTACCAGTGCTGTGATTTGTCGCTGGCCTCACAGTGCAACAGCACCTTCTGCAGTTTTCCAAGCGATACTGCTTCTACATGAAATGTATCAATCTGGTGCACAGAAAAGCCCCACAGAGTTCAGCATGTGACAAATGGAGGCAATAGCCTAAGGACTGCACAATACTTTAAAGAGATATTGTTGCTACAGTTAGCATCAAAAGTAGGTAATAAGGAAAGAAAAGTAAGCAAATTACATTTTTTGTCTATTTAAATATATTTCTGGCTGTGCTTTCTCTCTCTTGCACTTTTATTTTCTCCATTTGTAGTAGTATCCAGTGTAACAAATAAACAAACCCTGATTAATAGAAAACCTTCTTGGTTGTGGTTTTTCTTTGCTTAGATTCCTGTCCCTGTGATAAAGTTTATTAGGTGGTCAAGTTGACAACTGTGTGGCCTAACAGGCAACACATTTAGTTTCCATGAATGAAGATATACCCTGAAGCATATAGGAGCAAATTTTCTTTCCTCTCTTCTTCCTCCCTCCTTTTTTCCTGCAGTCTTGCCCTTTCTCCCCTTTCTTCCTTCCTGCTTGCCTTCTTTCCTTTCCCAAACCGTCTCCTGTACCTCCGTCTGTATATAATGTACAGAGCACATTTTTGGGTTTGTTTGGGAAGAGCATCCTGGAATCTTCATTCCTAAATAGAGCCACTTTGTTGTATCAAAAACTCACTGGTATTTCCATAGAGATGTAGGACCTAAAGTAAATCCTGTACTGATTGGAATAAAAAGAAATCCTTTACACGTACTTCCTAATTGTTGTGGTGAGTAACCATCCTAAAATTACCTGAGGAAAGGGTCATGAATTTAAGTAAGTCTGAGATAGTCTCAGAAATAACAGTTAACTATTAGCCACAGTTACCCTAATTTGTGGTAAAAATGCAAATCCAGTATTGTTTGTATTTCCTATATGGGGTAGGTTGTCTTAAGAGCTGCCTTCAGTGGTAACAGGTTAAATTTCAATTTGGTATTTGAAGATATACCACCTGGGTGTCAACTGTTGGTTCCATGCTATTTATGGAAATTTCCTCTTGTTTAGGCCAAATCCAAACCATTACTAGTCCAATGATGGTATTTCTGCAAACCAGATTATGACTGTGCATGTTCTCCGGTGTGCCTGGATAGTTACTGTCACTGTCCTGCATTCCCAGTGTGCATTTACAAGGGATATTTCATGATACATAATCACCTGTCACAGCAGATATCACTGACACTGTCCTTCAGGGCCATCTCTGGGTTCATCCACTGCCTTTATAGACAGTTCAGGCATGCTGACAGCTTTCTTTCTCAACCCCCTATGTCTCACTGCTTCTCTGCCTGAGGGCCTCCTCTTGTGGGACAATTCTGAGGGGTGTTCCACAGGATTTCTCTGAGGATCCTGAGTCCCAGCTCATTAATTAGCCAGTTCATCAATGTCCTTATACTGGCTTTTCTTCCTTTTCCTGCCTTACTTTCCCCACTCCTTCACTTTAAAGGTATTCACTGGGATCACCTCCCAGGTCAATTAGCTGTACGTCTTACACTGTGCTCTGGAGCAAATTCAGACGATAAGACCTCCAGTCCTAGAAACATTGCTTCAGTCAGCTTTCTGGTTTCTTTTTGTTTCGTAAAGAAACTTTAGTTTTGAAGACAGAATTAAATTTGGTCTATTATGTTTGTCACTGCCTTTTGATTACACCTTTGGACACTCTGCAGAGAAAATGACAACAACCAGCCCAATCAGTAGCTAATGATGCAAGTTGTGGCTGATGTGAAATCACTCTGGAAGTAAGATTGCTGTCACAGTTTCTCACCTGCAAAACTTTGAAATCATTCAGCATTTCCATTACATTCTATGCATTGAGGAAAATAATAGAAAAATGTGACATCTAAAATGAACCAGGAAAGAAAAACACTTTTATATCTTTGATTCTGAACTTCAAAACATACCACTAAACCCACATTTTTACTCTTATTTATACACTTATTGCAATTATACCTCCTACCTAAATTCAGTTTCATCTATAATACACCCTCCCTACTCTCTGGCAAATGCTATCTATGCACAGTGATGAACTGAAGAAGATGTCACAAAGATAACTTGTGACAGTTTAACATATAACGTCACATGATACTGCATGCTGGTAGGCCAACTAGTAGGCAGCCAGGGGAGAAGGTGCCTTCAGCATGTATCAGAAAGTGGTAGGGTGATGGTCTGGGCTTAAAGAAAAGCTAGGAGGAGGCTTTAGTGGATACACTGATCACTCAGTGTAATAATAATAATAACATGGTATCTAAAACTTCCTATTCAAAATTAATAATTCACTTGTGATGGCAAAAATTGGCATAAGTTTGTTTTTTTCTCTCATCCAAAGCAGCTTCCTATTCATTCTGATGAAAGTTTCTACGTAATCTGCAATAACAAATAAAAAGCTTAGGTGGGCTTTAAGATCTCTGATGTTCCAAAATAATTCATTAACATCAGCTAGAAAAAAGTTTAAGAAATAGCACTGTCAATCTTAATGATTTGGGAGTCATTTTTCTTAAAAATATACCCTTGAGTTACATAATCCCTATTCTTAATTTCAGACTCCCAAATAATATTTTCTTTATATAATAAAATACTATTAAAAGTAAACTAGGTTGATTACATATTACTACAACTCCTCAAACATCTGATACATATAGAAAGACTCATGCTTATATATAAAGGATAAAAGGGAATAGTGAAGGGCTTTATTGTATGAAAATAATATGGTTGGCTCCATTCAAAATGGTTTAAAGAAAGGCTACTGTGTTATTGTGTGAAATGTATCACAATGGCCCTTCTATAACCTGACCTTTTAGAATAATGCTTTGTACCTTTCAGTCCTGACAGAAGATGTTCATATTTTTTTTCCAGATATAGTCTAAACTTGTTTTCTTCTTTTTCTTACACTATCACTAGTTTTAATGTCATTTTTAAAAATATTATTCATTGCTAGTACAGCTTGTCCCATTTTTCTTTTTGAAGTACAACTTCTAAAACAAAGCACATCAGGAAGTCAGGTCAGGAAAACTCATGTTAAAGACATCCTAAAGTGAATACTGGAGGTGTGTCAAGCAACTTTCAATCTTCAATCATATACAGACACCTTCAGAGAGATTGCTAAGAACATGAGAAAGTTTTTGCAGACTCACCTGTCCTCTCTGAAATTTTACTGGCATGTTAGATTTGTACAGCAGTCTAAGACCAGAATCTCCCCTCTCTCCATAGAGACATAGGGAAACTTTAGACTCCGTTTCTGCTTGCTTCAATTGCCCAGTGTGGATATCAACATGGTATCTCACTACTGACAAAGCAAAGGGGAGAGAAACAAGAGGAAATCCATTAACTGGGACTTTGTATAAACAGAACCCAGATCCATCGGTCAGGCTACAGTAAAAAACATTAGAGAACTCCTCTAATCTGGACTTTCTGTATTTGTTGAGAAATTTATTATCTTTCAATGATTAGCTTTAATTATAAATGGGAATTCTTACACCACGAACAAATGCCCAGAAGATTTATAGCTTTTCAAAAAGAGAAATAAGAGATTTTTTTAAAAGGCTGTTCTTCTCTACATAATATAGGAATTCATCTCATGCTTAGTATTTCAGTGGCAAGGGTGTCAATTTTATTGTACATGATGCTTAAAATTTTAAATGACATAAAGTTTGAGAGAAAATAAATCAAAGATGACATAGTAACATGAGGCGGCCAACTGACCTGGGCATAGCCAGATGAGGCACAGACTTGATATTGTTTCTTTCTCACAGCCTCAACCCCTGGGACTAGAGCTGAACCATAAGAACATTTTTGAGATTATATTTAATCCCAAATACACCAGTGACTTGTGCTGTGACACTGAAAAAGTCACTTCTCAATGGGTAAAATAACTGTCTTAGAGGCAGAAAAAATATTCTGTAACGAAGTGGTTCAGAAGCAAATTTAAGAAACAATAAAATAATTGTATATGCAATATATGCTATTGAAGATTAATAACATCTTCAATCTATCATTATATATTATATTATTATAATAACACATGGCATAATTTTTCCCCTCCTCCAAAGCCGTTTCCTATTCATTCTCATGGAAGTTTATTATTATAAGCTTAGACAAAGCTTATAATATTATAATGTATTATATTATTATGACAACACACATGGAAAAATAGCTTGTCCTTCTTTTATTACAGGAAGCTCACAGACAACATCTCCATCTGCCTGGATTCGAGATAACCACACATTTGCTGCAAACTCTAGGATCGTCTTGCTCTTCATATGGTGCATGGTCACCTGAGATAAGAAGGAACAATGACCAAATTGTATGATTTCCAATTCCTCATAGAACTTCAAAATGCACCCCAGGACTGCTAAAATGTACTGAACACTCTGATGTTTGCTGCTGTTAGTAGTAGTAGTGGTGGCTGTTGCTTATTAGGCAATTATTATTTGCCAATTATTATAATAAATGATTTAATTATCTCTTTTAACGATTACCAATTAGATTGGTGAAATTCTTATGATTTTATAGATAAGAAAACGGAGGCTCGGAGATTTGAAATGGGCTCTGTCTGATTCAAAGCTCTCAGTTTCATCTGTATCAGTTGCCACAGAAGCAATCTATAGGAGGAACTCCATAAGAGATTTTGTGTTATTAGTTAGCAAAGCAGTCATACAGCAGAATTTTTTAAATTTCTAATACCTTTTTAGTGTATTTACAATATCCATAAGTTGTAAAATAGCCCTCAGCTGCTGCAGCCAAGTGCCAACACTCGCAACCCGCAGGCAGCTGCCTCTGCCTCTCTGCCCAATGAATCCTCAGCAGCCCCCTCACGATCTCCTGCTCCTTTGGTACCTATTTCACAAGAAGGCCCCCATCCCTTTATCTTCTTTACATCTCAGTGAAGAAATTTTGCAATTGCCTGCATTTCCTCTGGTCACAAAGGATGAAGTGCCCTCCTCCTTCCTTTTAAGGTCTAGTTCATCTTCTAAAGAAGTCTCTGCTCATCGTAATCTCCTCTGTTCCCTGGCCTTAGGAATAGGTCCCACCATGTCTCTGGTGGCTTGTCCCTAGAGCTCATTGCCATAACCCACTGACTGCCATTCTTGCTCCCCTCAAATCCTGCCTATGAGATGTTTCAAGAGAAATTATTCTAAAACAGAAATCTGATCATTTTGTACATAGTCCCAACTATTACAATAATCCTACTTACAGTATAAAATCCTAAATTCTCAACACAATGAGCAGTCCATAATCAGGCCCTATTTATCTCGATAGGTACTCCTCCTTGGCCTCCTGTATTCCAGTCATACTGGTCTGTTGACAGTTCCACAACCTGGCCGCTTTCCTTCTCACCTCAGTTTCACACACACTTGTATCTCTGTCTAGAACCACTTTCATCTGACTCATCGCCATGCTGAAACTTCCCAACCTTCATCACACAGCTCAGACACAAGATCTTCTAAGAAGGCTTTTGTGAGCCTCTCATCTGGGTTAGGCAACCCTACTTTGTGATCCAGGACAACCACCCACTCATGACTACGACTGTAGTTGACTGACTTCATGGAAGGTACCATCTTGGTACTTCCATAAGCTTTCACAGGGCAGTCTTTAGGTTGTTTGTTGAATGAATTATTAAATAAATAACTTAGCAAAATGGGTATTTGTCAAAACAGGTAATAAAACTAAATCAGTTCATCTGTTCACTAACAGCTGATTGTGTCTGTGAAAAGAACACGGGATATGATCAGAAAAACTAGGACTAAAATCTAGATCTACAATTATACAACTGCTTGACCATGAGAAATTTACATAATCACTTTGAGTACCAGTTTTTTCATCCTTAAAGTAGGAATAATAACTATCTTACATGGTTGTTGTCAAGATTAGATGAAATTATATGTAACAAATGGGAAAAACTTTCTATAAATTACATAAGCAATATTATGTATATTAACATTAACCAAATTTATATCTGAATACATTAATAAACATAAAAGAAATTAATAATAATATATTCTATTAAACTTGGAAATATCCCTTTCTCTGGACTACATCAAGCTTTATTTTTATAGCAATTAAATGAAAAATTCAGGAATACTAAGAGATAGAGACCCATCATAAAGATTCAGATGCTTTTTAATCACAATCAGATACAGTGCTCAAATAAAATTATTTTCAGCCAACTGTCTGAAGTTTTGAAATTTCAATAGCTCCAATGGTACTGAAACTTAAGAGCCCAGGTTGCTTACCTAGCAACCGGAAAGACAGAAGTGGTGGGTGAATGAAAGAAAGAAGGGTTATCACATCCTATAACTGAGGCTCTGTATTATGGGCCAGCTTGTTGCTAAAGTTTTAGCAGTGAGAGAGTATGTTTAACATTTTATTCCCTTTCCTAGAGCCTATTATGATATCTTTTACATTACTTTATTTGGGATAAGTGTTACTGTAATTCTGGGGGGGAATATCCCAGGGCAAAATACCTTTGAAACCGAAATCAGTAAAAGGGAGAAATAAAATTTAAGAAACCCATTTATTTCTTACAAGCAGTCATCCGTTCTCTCTCTTGACCAGGCTGCAGCAGAAGAGACCTCCACCTAACCTCTTTGGTCCAGCTAAGCCCTCCCATGCCCTTGTAATTATCTATTGATATGTAGATGACCTAAATCTCTCCACCCCTTAGAAACACCTATTGATATGCAGATACACTAAAGCCAGATGAGATATTCTGGAAATACTGCAATTTTACCCACAGTTACTCTCTAATCTATATACAGAAATACAGTCCTCAAAGAGCAAGCAAAAAGAATTACTAAGCAAAAAGAGCTAACCAAGGGTACAGGGGAGTTTACAGCTCCCCAGAGTGCTTGCATGCAGATGACCCCAAGAAGTGGCACACAGACTCTTGGCCTCCTTGCAGTGACACTTCTTACTGTAGATGTTCACAGCACTGTACTGGCATGGTTGGGAATTTAACAAAAAGAAACTGTCTCTGCCATCAAGGAGAATTTACAGATTATCTTTGAAGCGCAGAACCAAAATCTTTAAATAGCACAAGACTAAAGTAAAGCAGCATACCAATAAATACTTATTAACACAGACTTAATGCATTTGGGATTTGGGATAATGCAAAGATGAAGATATAATAAGAATAATTTCAGATGGAAACTAATAGATGTTTCAGATAAATGAAGGTCATAAATGGGTAATCTCCTGGATTTGGACCTGAAGCCTTCCCCATGAAGTAAAAGGTCTCCAGAAGGTCATTCTACTTAAAACTCCAACAGGTCTTTCCTCTCTACTGAATTCTCTGTGGAAATTCGCAAGAAGCTTCTGGTTTCTGTGGCACCACCATCCCCATCCATAGATGTACCTACTGATGAGCGAGTCTTAATCATTTTACTTCAATGAATGCAATCCCACTCACACCACTGGAAAGACTTCCCAGTTTTCAAAAGGAAAACTTCACCCAAATGCTCAGTTCTTTATTATCAGAATGAGAATTCTATTCTAAATCCTGATTCCTATTCTACTTGGATGATCTGACCAGGACTATTTGGGAAACAGATAAAGGCCTCCTTTGCCTCTCCTCCCCTAAACCAATCTGAATTAGCTTCTCCTACTTCTTTTCAGCACCCACCCTGAATTCTCTAGCTCATCAGTCAAGAGGTCCATAAATAAAAGGTGAAACCCCTAACTTAAAGAAAGATCTCCAAAGCTAGCCTCTAACCCCTCTCTTTCACTCATCCCATCACTCCAAAAAGTGCTCCAGCACTTCGAGCTTGCTTCATTCCTAGCTGTGTCATCCAATGCTTTCTCTGGGGTCATTTCCATCCTAATCTCTTGCAGCCTCAGGCAGCAACACTTAAGAAAAAGGATGCGCATTTCTCTGACCTGCAGGACGGGCACTGCTCTGGCTCCTCTCCATGGGTTTCCTCTTCTGCCAAGGCCCTGCCCAGAGCCCTTCAGAGATGGGCTTTAGCTCTGTAGCCCTTTCCCTAGCTTCCCTAACTTTACTGCCAACTAGGATAATGAGTGGATTAAGGAGTAGGTCCAGGTGGGCAGAGGGAGGGCCATCACTGTGGCTGGGGCACACCAGATCATGAGAGCAGTAAGCCAGCACCCTCTGCCCTGGCCAAGCTCCACATCTTTCTTTCCTACCTATTAGGATTGAGATTAAATACAATTAATAGCCAACAATAATCAATGAAACACTCTTCACATATGTTATTTAATCCTAAACTTAATCTTCTCTTTTCTTAATAAAATGATATATAACCAAAGTCAACAAACACTTTCTGAAAACTTGTGGCTAGCTGTCTGCTGGACACTGGATATAAAATAAAGAAGGTATTAGGATGAGAAAAGTTGAGAAATGTGCATTTAGAAATCCTACTCTAAAATGCCATAAACCTTTGTTCTATAAAGCAAAATATGTATAATACTTCTACTCTTATCATGTGTTCAATTTAGACAATGCTTCTTAAAAAACTAGTAAAGGTGACTGGTAACCAACATATTCCCTGGGCACTTATAGTGTTTACAGCATTATACTAGATCTGGTAATGTGGGCTGGGGGCAGGTGCATTGTTAGTCATTAACCTTTTTTTTTTTTGGAGTTGGAAATATGAAAATATAGTAAGGTTTGAATGTGTTCAAAGAGAACACTCTAAGCATTCTTGCAAATCAGGCACAAAAATCAAAGCTTGACTGCAGGTTTCCTTGTTTCTGGCACTGTTCCTTGTGACAAGGCCCTATTTGTTATAGGACTGTATGAGGAGATGGGCCATGGCATTCAAAACTGACTGGAGTGCTGTCAGATGCATCAGTTTATCTTTGGTTCACATATGCTGGCACAACTTTTGGAATGTTTTTATAAACTGCCGGAGTACTTTGAGATTAAACATGTGACTGGAGATCTCAGCAGAAGGGGAAGCTGGTGTTTCCTGCTGTTCTTTGGATTAGAAAATCCTCAAAAACAATGACTTTTCTTACTGCAATTCAGAACTTGCTCCTTCTCTACTGTTCTTTCTAGAACTCTGAAGTGAAGAACTAAAAATGAAAAGGAATTGGAAATATTTACAAGATGCTTTAAAAATTTTTTAAAAATCAATCAATCAATCAATTTCTTACCTAGCTTAGCTAATCTCAAGACTGCCTGGAGCTCATACCAAATAGGTTATCATATCATATCAAGAATCGGTAGTTTAAAAATAATAACAAACGAACAAAAACCTATGATCCATTTCAATTCAAAGGTTCGGAAAAATCAAGAAGTTTCAAGAGCCCTATT